AATGGGGGAGGTTTAGGTTGTATATTAGGAAAAACTTGTTCACTAGGTGGGTGGTGAAGCATTGGAATGGGTTACCTAGGGAGGTGGTGGAATCTCCTTCCTTAGAGATTTTTAAGGTCAGGGTTGACAAAGCCCTGGCTGGGATGATTTAATTGGTGTTGGTCCTGCTTTGAGCAGGGGGTTGGACTAGATACCTCCTGAGGTCCCTTCCAACCCTGGTATTCTATGATTCGACCTCGGGAGCTGACAGGGAACTCCCTCAGCTGGTACTAGTAGTAGTACACTTATAGTCTCTGAGGAGCAGCCAGTGGAGGTCAGTATGGTCACTACACACAGAGCAGCTCTGACCAGAGAGCACTGGGTGTGTGTCTGTGTCACAGACACGGGGTTATGTAGGGTGGAGCCATTGGGTCTCTGAGACACCTCCCATAGGATCAGGGATTCACCTGCCCGTCTCGCAGCTGGGCCTGCTGGGGAGCTGGGTGATGCCTGATTGTCACGGTTCTGGGCAACTGCCCCCGTATCTCCCCTCACTGATCCAGCAGGGCCCCTCCCCACTCAGCTCCCAGCTCCCGCCTTTCTGCCTGGAGACCCGCGTCTCTCTCCCTTCGGAGTGGGGGAGTCCTGGGCTGTACCATTTCCCAGCACAGACAGGCTGCCTGGGGCAGGATTCTTGGGGGACTCGACCCCCAACCTTGTCATGGTCACGTAGGACAGGGACTAGGGTGTCCCCATTCCAGGGTGCTCTCTCTGCTCTGACACTTCCCTGACCCATTGATCGTTACGTACAGTTCAAAGCAAATACAATTTATGAAACAGCAACCAATTAAAAAATTAAGGAAAAAATGGGAAGGTGAAAGGAAAACCCGTCACCCTGCTCTGTGGCATGGGGACATCACAATCAGCATCTCTGGGATGTAAGGAAAGTTCCCAGGCCACGTCCCAGGCCTCCTGCCCAGGCCCTGGCTGTGCTGATGCTGTGAGCCAGACACTTGCTCTGGCAGTGGCCACACGCCCTCAAGCTCTCGGTGGTAGGACCCTTCTGTCCAGTGTCGCCCCCCCATCGGGGTTATGATCCCCCTCCAAGTCTGACCTGCCAGACCCCTTGGCTGGGGCAGCTCCCTGTGCTGGGCCCACTGCCCAGGGTCCCCCCTCGCTCTCGCCAACTGCTTACTGCACCCGGCTCTGGACTGCTCCAGCCCCAGCCCCAGCCCCACCCTGCCTCCAGCCCGGCTCGCTGGGCTGATCCTCTGTCCCTCTGGCTGCTGTTCTCCTTAGCTCAGCCCCTCTCGCCAGGCACCTCAGGCTCACAGGCTGGCCTGGAGCATTGGCCTCTCCCCATTGGCCCCGGGGACTGTCACTCTCAGGGTCCTGATTTCTCATTCCCCTTTCTTTTGGTGCTGGGAGAGGGCCAACCAATTCCCCACCCCTCCACCCCCAAGGGTCAGTGAAGAGCCAACAGCCCCCTGACACCTGTAGGATTCTTCAGGTAAAAGCCTCCCAGAGAGAACATGAAACCCAGTGACAGAACCCACCCGCCGGCTAACAAGCTCCCTGGATCACCCCCCCTGTTCACCCCCCCACAGCGGCTGCTTTGGGGCTTCGAGTTCGTCCCAGCTGCAGCTCAGAACCAGCTCCAGCCTGATGGGACCTTCGCGGGCTCCATCCTTCCCCCTCCCCAGGAGCAGGGCCCTCCCTGGGGCAGTGGCCCTGGCGGCTTCTCAGGTCAGCAGGAGGTCCCGAGCCAGGCTAAACCCAGGGCTTTTAGCCAAAAGCAGTTTCTTTGTCTTGGTCTCTGGAGATCCCAGTTGGACCCGGCACTGCCATCTCTGCTGGCTTCGAAGGGTAGATACCATAGGAGGGACATTGCCCCCCCCCCCGCTCTGCTGGAGGAGGTGCACACGCTGCCCCAACAACCCTGCACAATTGCCATTTTTAACACAATGGACCCCAAAGCAATTCCCTGAGGCAGAGCTCAATGCAGCAAAGCCTCTCGCACTTCCATAAGGTTTGTTCAAGATCCTGTCAGCCTGGGCGGGGACCCCAGCCCAGGCCCTGCGGCTCTGGTTGCCCTGTGGCCGCCCACTCAGCTCTGGCAAAGGCTGACGAATGGCTCACGTGGGGCCGGGAAACGGCTACCTGAAATAGTCCACTCCCCTTTCGTAACAAAAAATGTTTCTAGCCCCGTGTTACAGAGAAAAGCCAGAGCCCTGGCCCTGAGTGTGACCCTGACGGCTCTGAAACCAGAAAGTAAAGTTTTAAAAAAAAATCTCCGGATTCTTAAGCCAATCTTATGATTTTTTGAGCTGGACTCATGATTTCTGAGCTGCGTTGGCAGCGCTGAGCTACGTCAGCCTGTGATCTACAGGAGATCAGATTAGATAATCTAATATTCCCCTGAAACCATAAACTCTATGAAGGGGCAGAGTTAAGGGCCCACACACAAAGGGGAGGGGTTAAGGGTACTTACAGAAGGGGTGGGGTTAATAACATACACAAGAGGGGTGGAGTTAAGGATGTACACAAAAGGACAGGGTTAAGGGTGCTCTAGCTCAACCCCCAGATCTGGGCTGAGGGAGGGTCCCTGGCCTGGGCTATGCAGTGGTGGACTCGTCCTGAGCTGAAGTCACAAACAGATGTTGGGAAGGGGGGTGCCAGCCTTTAAACAGGGCAGTGGGGTCAGGGGCACAGCTGGTCAGGGGATCCCAGGAGAGGTCACCAGCCAGGCAGGTCCAGCTGCAGAGCAATCCAGTGTGGGAGATCGGAGGTGAGGGACAGGACGACCCGGAGCGGAGATGCAGCAAGTGCAGATCAGGGTCTCACTGCAGCTGGGCCCAGCCTAAAGCTCCTTGGGAAATGCGGGGACGCTGTTGCCTTTGACAACAGGTTTCAAGACCCACGTCAATAACGACCCATAAAACATTTAATTCCAGACGTTGCTTTTCTCCCATTTGCAAAGTGTCCTGGCTGGGAGGGTGATGTTCTCCCCCCCACTGCCTACATCCTTGCACTGACCTGCGGGTTCGTTTTGTCGGGGATACGCCGATGAAACAGGGCTCCCGCAGTGGCATTCGGGGCCTTGGTGTAGGGTGCCTGGGGAAATCTGGCTGCTTGCCTACATGGGGGCTGAACTCTGGGAGATCCAGCATACCACGTGCCTCAGTTTCCTCACCTGCAGGGCGGGGATAATAATCCTGTCTGATGCTTTCAGACTGTAACACTGCATGTTGGACACGGGGCCGGCTGGGTTAATTGTATGTGACTGTGTTGCTGGCTAAAGGGCAGCCGTCTTTTTGTGGTGTCTGTCCAGTGCCCGGCCCCACGGGACCTGGTCTGTGGCTGGAGCCCTTAGGTTATAGACAAGACCAATGCTAAGGAAGGAGTTCAGTCAGTCTGAGCTAAATTCGGCTGCTGGAACCCAGCCCTGGGCCGTACAGCGGTTCCGGTGCCGGCACTCGCACAAGGGGGCGTTAATTCCTTTGGACGGTGCCGCCACACCTGTGGGCTGGGGGATTGCTGGGGGTGGGGAAGGAAAGTCCCCAGCTGGGGATCCCGGCGGCTTTCAAACAAGGGCCTTGGGAGCAGTTGGAAAGTGGCGTCTCTGAGAATGGAGCGACGCTGGATGGGGGAACTGGACTGAGGGGTAGAAGGCTGCAGGGAGCAGACCGCTTTGCCTATCCAAACTAGGGTTGCCAGGTGCCCAGTTTTCAACTGGAAAGTCTGGTAGAAAAGGAGACCGGGCCATGTCCAGTCAGATATACTGACTGGACACCAAAAGTTCGGTTATCACGGGGCATGGGGAGGTGCCGGGTCATTGACCTCCACCAGCCCCTGCTCAGCCAGGGGGCTGCCTCGAGAGTGACCAGATAGCAAGTGTGAAATATTGGGATGAGGGTGGGGGGTAAAGGTGCCTATATAGAACAAAGCACCCCCTAGAACTGCATGCAGCTTATGATAGAAGCGGCATGTCTGGGGGTCTGACCTGGAGCGGCCGT